AATGTGCTGGAGATGTTAAAAAAGTACCAACACATAAATCACTTCACCAAGTTTTATATTTAAAAATCAACAAACAACAAATTAAATTACTTTTTGTTTGCATAATCACTAAAACAATAACATTATCAATGATGTTCGGATTTTAAATGACAACTTGACTGACAACAGTTTAATAGCATGTTGAAATATCTAATGTAGATGTTCAAATAAAGCTTTTAAAAAGATTAATAAAAAGGTAAACCTCACATTTCAGCCTTTAAATAAAGAAAAGATGTCAAAATGATAATTGATTCATAAATGATTATATGTATTTTATCTGCTCCATAAATAATTCTAGATAACTTATCTGAATTGTTTAAATGTGTAGAATCCACATAAGCTTGTTTTTCATCAACCGGTCAAAATTGACAGCAGGGCATGCAAATTCGGTCCGTTTTTGGCCAGACAGAAACTGCACACAGACTGAATGTAAATATAAGTCTATGTAAATCCACTCACTGACAGCAGGTGGCGCTTATGGAAAAGCTGAATTAGGGGCCATTCACATATCGTGTCTTTTGCGCGCTCAAGTATGTTATTTCAAATGTAGATGCGCGGCAGGCGCACTCATAATGAAAGCGACGCAGTCGCGACACACACGCGGTGCGACGCACTCATTTTTTCCAGGCGCGTCCACGCCACATCCAGATAAAAACATTTCAACTTTTCAGAATGCCCTGTTTCCCGTAACCTCCGTGGACAAAGCAGTATTGCGATTAAAACACTTCCTTTAGGCATTACATGGAGCGAAGATAAAAACAAAATGCCATTGAATCGTTTCTGAAGACAGTCAGAACCTTCAGAGGTGCATTCATATAATTAGTTCATTCATATATTTATTTGTATAATTCCCTTAGCACTCTTTTAAAACCTCCCATTTTCATTAACCTCACTGACACAATGTGAGAAAGATTAGACGAGAATATCACGTAAGGTGGCTTATGGTCACAAGTTTATATTTCACGTGCCAAGCAACATTAAAACTTAATATTGCATGTGCTTAGCATTGCATATTGCATTGTGACAACTTACCCCACATAGTGTGGCAATATGACCTTTGAAACACAAAACTAGGTCACTAGCTAAAATGTCCAAACTTTCCCTTTTAAGCTTGAGTCTGAACAAAACCTCTAAACTAAAAGTAATGTTTACAGTCCTATTTTGGCCATTTTTCTTTTCTTTTTTTTTTTTTTTTACAGGAACTTGCCTACATACAGGACATGGCCTACACACAGTAAATGGACTCTAATGACAGGCAGACTCAGGCCTAGTCTTTTGAAATTTCTACTGAGCTTTAGAGTAAGCATGAGAAGAGAGCATGAAGAGAGAGGGAGAGAGCGAGACGCGGTCAAAGAAAGAGGGAAGGGCTGCTGTGATGTCAGCGTTGAGCTGCTGGTGAAGGGGGTGGGGCGGGAGAGCGAGGGGGCCTGCGCTGGTGTTTCTTGGTTACTGGGCTTGGCTAGAGCATGCAGGAAACCAAACAATGAGCTCTGCTTGAGAAAATCCACAACCCTGTCTTTTGTGTTTTTCACAACCATGGATAATCTTTCGAGTGTTTTGTGTGTGTATACATGGGAATTAACGCCCATGTGTAGTAACTAAACAGTGGGGCCAGTTTATTATATATGTATATATATATATATATTTGCATATTGCCCAACAGCCTATTTTGGTGTCAGCATCATCAATAAAACAATGCTGGTTGATCTATTGATCCCTTGTTCCATTTCTCTGAACCTGATTCTGCAGTTTTGGAACTGTTTGGATTTAATATGATTAATGTCTCTCTTTGACTGTCATTCATCCTAAAGCGAATGCTTTTTGTTTCACTTTTTCTGTTACTCATTCTGTCTTCATTATTATTACTGCTTTCTATGCAAAATTTGTCCAGTTATTATAGGTTGAGCCTTAATCACAAAACCTTTTATTGAAAAGTGATGTTTGTGTGCATTTTATACTGATCGTTGTAGCATTAGGGCTGTTCACACAGAACATGTTTTCTGAATAAGAAGCGTTTGGTGTAATTTAGTAATCTCGGATTGGAAAATTTATATAAATTAATAAAATGCCAAGCTCTACAATATTTTTATTGGGTAGAAATTGTGAGTAAAATATCTTTTAAAAATCCTTATTGTTAATCCTTATCCAGTATATCAACAACTAGAAAAGTAATTGGGCATTTGAATATTTTTGTGGACAGCCTTGGAGTCAAAAAGTTTGAGAACATGTTTGACTGTTGCATATTTTGGAATGTCTCATGCATGACATGCATAGCTTCTAAAAATGTGGCGCTTAAAAGAATTTGAGTTTTTAAAAAACACATCACAAAGCATATTTTTAAAAGCAGAAATGTGTTCCATGTGAACGGCCCGTTTATTCACCTAATGATGTTCAAAGGATGGAGAAGAGCCAAATCTAGATTGGTTATGTTGTCAAACATATTATAATTTTTTTTAAAGTGTTGGTTCAGGTGTCTGGATCGCAGTGCGGTGATGCTGTACAGTCAAAACAAAGTATGCCAAATGCAAGTGGTCCGCTGCTTTTTTGGATGTCCGTTGCCTGATTTGCATAATTCCTTTAGTGAATTTGGTGCTAATACAAAACAGCGGCAGACGTGTGAAAATAAACAGTGCTATCAGTGGGTGAAATTTATTGTTAGTAATATTTCCCTAGGGGTTTCCCTCTGCTGTAATAATAAGGACAGCTGCCTTTTTGGACTGAGAGAGACAAATCTTCTCCTCTTTCTATTCATCCCAGTGGCCAGCAATGATTAGTTAATCTCTCTCTCTCTCTCTCTCTCTCTCTCTCTCTCTCTCTGTCTATCTGTCTGTCTGTCTGTCTGTCGGTTTTTGCCTAGGGGTTTCCCTCTGCTGTAATAATAAGGACAGCTGCCTTTTTGGACTGAGAGAGACAAATCTTCTCCTCTTTCTATTCATCCCAGTGGCCAGCAATGATTAGTTAATCTCTCTCTCTCTCTCTCTCTCTCTCTCTCTCTCTCTCTTTCTCTCTCTCACTGTAAACACATAGGAAGGAACTGGGAGGATTTTTAGGAAGTGCCATTTAAAGACTTCCTTATTTCCCTTCCTCTTGTGAAGAGACAGAAATGAAGGGTGCAACACTCAGATAGATAATATTTCAAATGTGTTTTGTATAAAAGTCTGAGTAAACAGCTTTAGGGAGCATAAAGAGAACAGAATATGAGAGAGTGAAACGCCGCAGCTCCGGGGCACCGCTTTTCTGCTGCTTTTCTACAAGCTGCAAATAAAAGATTACTCAAGAAGTACAGAGCATCTGACGTTACAGGTTAGTCATGAGGGTATTGGGAGGCTTCTAATCCCAGGATGTGAGAGATGAGGTTGCAGTTTTCCTGTTATCTCACAGCAGCTGTGTGTTCATTTTACAAAAATTATATAATAATTATTAAAAACATTTAATAATTATTAAATAAATAAAAAATAATTAAATGATGGTTAAATAAAAAACATTTGTTTCTGAATTGTCAGAGTACACATACAGTCTAGCCTCACTGAAAATGTTACAAAATAACAATATTCATAAAATAAAAAAACGAAATATAAAACAAACAGTATTTTTAATTGCCTAAGTACACAAAGTAAATTCAATTTAATAATATGAGTTGTGAAAATTAAGTGTGATCTGACCTCCACCAGTCCACTTGATGTTACATGGACAAATTTTTTCATTTACAGTATCAGTTTCTCCAGCTGTTCATGCTTACTGTCTAAGAGGAAGTGCCTGACATGTGGTTTGTGTTGCAACATGGAATATAAAATTCATACTTTTAGTAGATAAAATCCTCACACTAATCCTAAGACTGACAATGGGGAATCAGACGTGGGTCAGAGACGGAAAATCACGGCAGACGAGGAAGCACATGGACATTGAAACAGCAAACGAAACCATGAGCTCACACAAACACACATTCACACACTCAGACAGACAGACAGACATATGACTCTCAATAACAGAGGGACTGTTATGTTTTGGGTATCATGGGATTTCACATCCCATTTGTTTGTGGAAGATAAACTGATGTATGCACATTCATTGATATTGAACAATAACATGTTGTTGATGGAGGGAATAGGGTTAAGCTGTTCAGTCTGAGCAGACAGATGTTCACATGGATGTGTATCATGGATATAGTTGATGGCTAAAGCTGTTTTCTTTTTTTAATATATTATTAAAATGTAATTTATTCCTGTGATGAAAAAGCTGAATTTTCAGCATCATTACTCCAGTCTTCAGTGTCACATGATCCTTCAGAAATCATTTTAATATGCTGATTTGATGCTCAAGAAACATTTCTTATTATTATCAATGTTGAAAACATTTGTGCAGCTTAATATTTTTGTGGAAACAGCGATCATTTTTTTCTTTGATTAATAGAAAATTCTAAATAACAATTCATTTGAAATAGAAATATTTTGTTACATTATAACTGTCTTTACTCTCACTTTTGATCAATGTAATGCATTGTTGCTAAATAAAGATATGAATTAAATTAAAAAAATCTTACTGACCCCAAGATTTGGAATGGTGGTGTTGTATAAAGAAATGTGTTGCAAATTTTTAAATGCTTGTTTTTTGTTTTACCCTTGTCATGGACTTTCAATATGAAACTACATCATAAAATGTTGAATTATTACTTTTTTTTTTAAACTGGAGGACATATTTCAGATAAAATATGACGTGATCAAAAATCTATGTAAATATTACTAGAATATTTTTACTGTGCATCATTTCTAATCAGACTGTGTTATGTAATGTGCAAAAAATGCAATGAAACAATATTTGTAAAATTGCAAAAAAAAAAAAAAAGTGAGGAAATATTGTTTCATTGTATTTAGTGGTCATATGTACATACATGGGATTGTAAAGATGGAATAGACCTACAGCTGTATTCAAAGATTACCGTTCATTCTGTCTCTCTCTTATAGTCTGAGAGGCCTCTGTCTCTTCATTTGAATGCCTCTCACGATGGCTAAGCGGGAAAGCGGCAGCACCAGCCCAGTGGTGCGTCAAATAGACAAGCAGTTCCTGATGTGTAGCATCTGTCTGGAGCACTACCACAATCCCAAAGTCCTGCCCTGCCTGCACACCTTCTGTGAAAGGTATCTCAATAGATAGTCCCGTGTGCATGAATGAACAAATTATTACAATCACGCAATCATAGCCTGAATGCTGCTTTCACAGTATGCTAAAGACTGTCTGTGTTCACTGGTGTGGAAGAAATCTGATAAATGCTGGCCAAAACACTGCCGCTTTGGGGGTGGGTGTGTCTGTAAAATCACAGCAGTCTGGTTGTCTTGAAGATGATCCAGTGTTGGGAGTTACTAACTGAAACATAACACATGACTGTACATCTTCATTTTTTTGTAATATTGTATTATAGAAGAGCGAACTAAGGTCAAGTCAATAATGCAAGCTGCAAAGTTTTCCAGCTAAAGTCAGTAATAATCCAACATGGTTGTCTGTCCACCCGCTCTCAAATGAAACATTTGGGAATTTTATGAATTTTAGTGAAACGGTTCAGTCCCCATCCAAATGCTATTTTAGGTCTTTTTTGATAGCCATATATAAAATAATATCTTGAATAATTGTACAAAATTAAATCATAATTATTAAATTAAATTAAATTATTAAATTAAATTACATTTAATTTAATTTAATTAGTGTTTTTTTTTTCTGAATTGCCAGAGTACACGTCAATACTGCCACAGCCTAGCCACATTTAAATAATATTTAGAATAATAAAAAAATAATAATAATTAAAGGAGATTATGCCCCTTTTTACTATATGTAATATAAGTCTCTGCTGTCCCCAGAATGTGTCTGTGAAGTTTCAGCTCAAAATACTCCACAGATCATTTATTATATCATTTTGAAAATGCCTATTTTGAGTGGAAGCAGAAACACGCTGTTTTTTGGGCCTGTCTCTTTAAATGCAAATGAGCTGCTGCTCCCCGCCCCCAGAACAGAGAATAGAGCTGTGCCATTACAGCTCGGACCTGCTAAAAAACATCTGTTTTGGTTCTGATTATCATGTTTATCGCGCTGAAATCATGCGTTTTAAACCATACGAGTTTAAACTTCTGATATGATATTTCTGAGTGCACACATCTGAAGCACACGGACAGAAAGCGGCTGTCACAGCATGTGAGTACTAAACTAAGTTCTCATTCACACACAAGTTTACGTTAAAAACACACATGAGTTACAAAAAACAGTCGGTTATGTCTGTGAAGGTAAACAGCTGGGAAATAAATCGCATGTTTATTTTAGATCTGTGTGGCAGCAGCAGTAAATAAATCAATAAATCCACTGCTCTCTTGTCTCCTCTGAGGCTGGGACTCTAAGTAGTGTTCTGTGCTCGTCTGTGCAGCCAAAGGCAGAACAGTTAGCATGTTTTGCTCAAACTTTCGCCATGGCATTACACCGTTGTCGCTTGCGAAATCAAAATGACGGTGCCATGGGTGGAAACGTGCAGATTAAGGGGCGGTAATATTATAATGAGATCCCTTTGCCACGTCACCAAGGGAGTGAAATCAGACGCGCTCGTTTTTTCAGACGCTTGCAGAAAAAGGCTTACCAAAACAAAGTTACCGGGTTAATCTTTTTCACGTTTCCTTGGTTGGTAGATGCACCGGGGACCTGGAAAAGTCCGATTTTCATGATATGTCACCTTTAAATAAAAAATACAATTATTCAATAATTCAATAATAATTCAATTATAATAAAAAAACTTGATGTCTGAATACGCATAGTCAAATTAATACACCCTTTTGTTTAATCCTGCCACAGTCTAGCCATATTGAGATAAGATTTACATAATTATTATTTACAAAATAATATAATAATTGTTAAATTAAAATATAAAATGTTTAATTAATTCAATAATACTAAAATAAAAACAAACAAACTATATTTCTGAATTGTCAGAGTACACATTCAGTGTGAATTTAATACACTTTTTTTTTTTTAAATCCTGGCTGCCTCCCATTGTTTTTAGCCTCTCATTTCCATAAGTTCAACATTCAACACGCTCACCACTTGGTCTGATTTGTTGTCAACCCCACAATCCTCTGTGCAGGTCTGCTCCTCAGCTCCTATAGAGAATAAATTGAAAAGACCCGCTCAGCTCCAACGTGCCAGTGAACATGTACAGTTTGACTTCAAGCTCTTCCAGCACTTCCAATATAATGGCAAAGGAATTACACAGATGCTGGATTTCACTTTAGAATGGCTGTCATATGAGATCATGTTTAAAAACCTCCCAGTAAGGCAAAAACAGAGATGACCATATTCCCTTTGCCGTCACTGGGCTGGAATGTGAGCCTCCGTTTTTTTCCGCTTCTGTCAACAAATCATGTGTCCTGCTCTCATCTCTGTTACTTTCTATCATCCTGTCAAAATATTTACCGCTAAAATTAAAATGAGACTGAAAAATTGAACACAGACAGACCATTAGATGGATTGATCATGTCTTGGAATACGCCCGGTGCATTTACAATTCATTTGACCTTAGAGGGAAGTCTTTACCGCTTATTTTTAAGTCTTGCACTTGTTTTTACATCCTTTCCATCACAGATGCCTCCAGAACTACATCCCCCCTCAGTCCTTGACCCTCTCCTGCCCAGTGTGCAGACAGACCTCCATCCTGCCTGAAAAGGGTGTTGCAGCACTGCAGAACAATTTCTTCATAACTAATCTGATGGAGGTGTTGCAGAGGGAGCAGGACTGCACCCGTCCCGAGGCCTCTAGTGGGCTGGAGTCAGCCGGTGCTGCTACATATGCCCCGCCCCTCTCCTGCCCCAACCATGAGGGCAAGGTAAGCTTGTACAGATGAGAATAGAGCAGTGGCCTCCTACTATGAACTACATGTACATACGCAGACATGTTGGGGGATAGTTCACCCAAAAAATGAAAATTCTGTCATTAATTACTCACCCTAATGTCGTTCCAAATCTGTAAGATCTTTGTTCATCTTCGGAACACAAATTAAGATATTTTTGATGAAATCCGAGAGCGTTCTTGCATAGAAAGCAAGAAGAAATTGTTGAATAAAGTGATTATTTTTGTTTTCTTTCCACTCAAAAAGTTTTCTCGTAGCTTCATAAAATTACGGTTGAACCACTGATGTCACATGGACTATTTTAAAAATGTTCTTACTACGTTTCTGACCCTTGCTGTCTATGCAGGGTCAGAAAGCTCTCGGATTTCATCCAAAATATCTTAATTTGTGTTCTGAAGATGAACGAAGATCTTACAGGTTTGGAACGACATGAGGGTGAGTAATTAATGACAGAAGTTTCATTTTTGGGTGAACTATCCTTTTA